GCTGAAACAGAAACGTCGTCTTTAAATTAAGAACAACGACGGATGCGGTGGTGTGCAGCGAGTGAGTGTTGCTCATGCTTTTGTCTAACTGGACGGAAAATAACATTAAGGACGTCTGCTTGAAGTTTAAATGACAGCTGTACTTGAAAACTCTCCTGCCTCTTGAAAATGAACACTCTTGAGATTACTTATTGTAATTTATTGTGGACATATGAATTAAAATTGATCCTGTTTAAATTCTGTGATAAAGGCTACTAAATTTTTAAACAATCTTAACTTCATGTTATAAGTTATATAGATATATGTACATACTGTATTTTAATACTTTACTTTTGTTACAGGACTGTTCACTGTAACAAGACGTTCAGTCTCTAAGATTGTTCACAGTCTTTAGCCATGCTACATAGAAACAGTCACAGTCACTATAAAAGCACAGAATCAAAATACTCCAAAAAGAGCTTCTGTAGCCAAAATGCTCAGTAAACTGCCCCCTTTTTACTTGAGTTTAAGATTTCAGCACTTCAGCCATTTTCAGCCATCTAATAGTCACCAGGGAGTAAACTCTATAGGGCAATTGAGAGTAGCCAATCAATCCTTTCCTGTGTGTCCTTAAGAGGTGGGAGAAAACTGGAGTGTCTGCCAATATAAGCACAGGCATAACGTGTTGTTATCCCTCCACACAGCCTGCCAGCCAGGGTGAATCGAACCCAGCATCCTGGAGTTGTGAGACAGCAGTGCTAACCACCATGCCAAAAGGCCACTAGGGCAAGGTACAAGGAGTGCACAGCAGTCTAAAGAGCCAAGGGACTTTTATAATCTTTTTTTACTTTCGTTGTCTATCATCTGAGGACCAAACTTCACAAGCCTTTGCAGAATATTGTGTGTGTAAACTAATTTTCTATTGGAAGTAGAAAATTCTAATTTGTTCATATTATATTCAGCCACTTTTTTGCAGAATTGTGAAAGATTCAGTTCTGTTCTGCTGGTTCTTACCAAATGCATGTACTGTAAGGCTCCACAGCTGAAACGTTGTTTCTTTTCTTCTCTTTTCAGCGTGGAATAAACCTTTACTTGTTCCTGTATGTATAATATTCAGACACACACTTTTCCCCATAGCTGCCTCTCACCTGCAGGGTTTATATGTGCAACATGCTCATTGATCTTATTGTCAGAGTACAGACACTATCTGCTCACAGGTGTGAAGTGTTCAGCTAGGTACTTTAGCCTTGAAAATACCTTTTGTCTTCCAGTGATAACAATTCGGGCTGTCATACAAGGTTCTCTTTGATTTCAAAAATGTTCTACAGTGTAGCTAGCTTATGTGCAGTGAAAGGAAAAATTGTAATTGATACTATTCCATTGATACTGCTGTCATGAATCACAGTAATACATTAATATGGAGATGGCCAATGACAGGGAAATTTAATCCAATCCCTGTTTTAATGTGTATGAGCTCCATCAGATGTCGACCGTGGTATTTAACAGCAAGATTTTAGGTGTTCTGCGATTTCTCAGTGCCTTTAACATTTGTCAGACTAAAGTCCAGCCTTGAACTGCATGTTCCTTCTTTTTTTTAGTAAAACTAGAAAAATGTCGTACTGCCAAAGACGTCTAGTTACTAAATGCAGAACTTAGCTGGAAACACATTTGCACTGTTATCTTTTTTTCTTCTCCACTCATCATCACCAACAGTTCTTGTGAACACTTACCACTCCAGCACTTAGGAATACCATTAAAGAAAACCCAGACACCTCCATGAAAGGTGTCAAATTTGTATGATGGCCATTTAAAAAAGAATGTCACTGGTGCTGTCTCTGAGGCACAAGAGTAGCTGCAATTATGAATTATGATTGCTACCATTGAGTGTTCATTATTAAATAATTGTATTTACAACTATCACTTTTTCAGGTAGAAATAATACATTAAAAACAAGCTACAGTACATAAATGAGTGATATAATTGAACATACACAGGAAAGGCATAAGACTTTTTTAAAAAAACTGTCGTTTTTTGGTTGGCTTCCTCATGTTACCACTTCATTTGAGTAAGGGAAAAAATATATATTTTAAACCATGTACAATAGACACTGCTTTACAGAATTGACTCCCTCTTCCCATCCAGCCAAGATATTTGTCACATATACATCGCTAAATAAAAAGCCTGAATTTAATAGTGCCTTCTTCCATTCTGAGTTACGGGTTTTAATTGCCCTCTCTTGCACGCATTGTAAAATATTCATTTACTTGAGCTAATGGAGCTAGGAAAGGCACAAATACAATGAAGAGGGCTGGCAATGGGAAACACTTGGAGGGACGGCTATACATCATTTTCCTTCCACAATGTAAATTGCAATCATTTTTTACTCAGCTTGTATCGATGCTCTCTGTAAAAAGCCAAGCATCAAGGGCAGAGCAAAGGCCAATAACATCACGCTACTGCCACCTAATGTTTAAGGAATGACTAATTTAAAGCATTATTAGGGGAAAAAAACCCAGCTGCATTGTGCTTAAGGTTTGCCTCAAGCCATTTCTATTTATTTAAGGGAATGAGTGGATTATTGTATTTCAAAGAGGCGGCTTGACAGTTCTACTGTAGTCCTATTCTTAACGTTGCCAATGCACTAGAACTGCTGTCCTAACAAGTCATGTTTTTATAACACCACAGCATTAAGGTTACAGAGTCACTGTGAAATAGCAGTAGCCTTCTTTTTCCAATGTGAAGAATATAATCCTTCAGAAAAAAGGAAATGCCTAAATGAAATTATTTATACTTGTTTAAGCAAATGCGAGTAAATCAAGCACACTTAAAAAAATCTTGCTGTGCACCCATACAGTAATTTCACATTGATACTCAAGATACAGTAATAGGTCTTTTAAAATGGCAAAGACTGCAAAATATGAATAAAAGCATAAGCAAAGTGTCCTCTTATAGACTAATTATAAGGAGGAGCTTCCGCACATAGAAAATGAAGAACACTTGTTTGAAATAAAACAAGTCTCATATCTATATCTCAACTACAGTATTTAAAACTTCTGACCATAACTGATACTTCATCAGAATAATATGAGTTTATTTCATATTAAATTTGCATATTTGCACCTTTTTAGGTTGAAATTCGTTTACTGTTGTGAGTTACTGTAATTAAAATGGATCTGCAAATGGAGGATTATACAAATCTGCTTAAACTGCACTTTTCCTCTCAAAGATTAAATAATCCAAATAATAACATCATTAAGTATGAATTTGAGGGCAGGCTTCAGGTATCAACATAAGATTTTAACAAATGCAATAACTTTATGTATTTTTCTTATTTAAAAATTAAGCTATATAGCAGACTATATCTTTGGAAAAAACTGAAACTGCCTCTATGATTTATATCTGTAATCCGTTTAACAGTAACATTAAAAATAGTAAGACTAACGACTGCATTTTGTTAAAAAGCCAAATGCTTTTGGCCTTTTAAGTCTTAGATTTAAAAGGACTGTACAATCTGTTACTCTCCTGAGGCTATACATTATACATAAACTGTTTTAAGTAAGTACTTTAGCTATCAAACCAACTAAGCTTAAACTCTTATGTAAAGGTCTCTAACAATTAGCTCCAAATAAAAGTAAATTTCAAGATTGATTGAAGCATCATCAGTCTTGGAGTTTACGGTGCTTTCACTAACAATTGTGTACTATTAAGTGTACTAAAACATATTTGATTTCATATGCATAGCCAATATTCACACAAATAACATTATAGCAGAATTTGTTATCTGAAGTCAATGAGCTGTGGGTAAAGTGAGAAAGTAAAAAAAGGTGACCTGCTATAGGATGCCTCAAAAGAACTCATTTTTGATTAGGAACAGTAAATGTGTCTGTCCTCCTTGGAGCCTTACAGAAAATAATTAATGCACTGTCACAGATCTTACTTTATCCTTCATTTAAAAAAATAATAGAACTTTGCATCCCAGTTCACAGAAAGATCTCCATGGGCATCAGAGCTGCACTGCATTTCCATTAGCAGGTATTAATAACCCCGGCCTAATGTTCTTCATAATGTATTTGATGCAAGTAAGCGCAAGGATGTAGGGCAATAGCTATTCTTGTTTGGAAAGATAACCTGTTTATTCTTGAACCAGAACATAAGGGGGATTAGCACTTGCAGTGCTGTGTTTTCATTTAAGACTTAAGTAAGGCAGCAAAATCCTTTCACATTGGTGAATGACAATTCTCTGGAATGGAATCCTTGCTGGCAGAGGCATGAATCAGGTATAGTATATAGCCAGTAGGGCTCTATACACATGTTCAGCCCATAAAAGCACTTTGAGCCTACTGTGCCCTTTGGCACAGGGTCTTATTTGGTCAGAGAAAAAACTGCAACTTCAGCCCAGTCTAGCCAGATTCCTCAAGGTGGATTTCCGTATCCTACACTAATGGCCATCGGTCCAAGGAATGGTCCTCCAGCTCTCTATGCCCACTAAATGGAAGGACAGAAATAGAATTAGGGCGTCTAAACTCTAATATGATCTGAACCCATCCACTCAAATCATTTAACAGATGAAGGGCAAGTGTGAGCTTTTTTGATCAGTCCCTGACCACTGCAGTATTTCCACTTCCTGAGATTCCACAACACCCACTTATTAAGAGAGGACTACAACTGGTTACTGATCCCATCCATGCAATAAAAAAGTGGACTGACACATTGTATGGGGCACAAGGCAGCACCACAAAGTATTATTATAAGTATTACTTATCAGATTTTAAGAGTCTATTAAACACACAAGAATGTGTGTTTAAAGTATAATATTGTAACCTAAAATGTTACAATTTTATACTTTATTTCTTTGGTGATAAAAGATCAAGTGTAATGTTTTTATATGATAAGACCATGACTCTCATCCCCCAGGACACTGTGGATTCCAAGTTTTGCTGAATAGTCCCCCTACTATACTGTATTCATTAATATAAGGTATGTCCTCATTAGAAACAAAACATCTAGTTAATAATACATACCAAGAGTGCCAGTTTCTGGTACTTCTGTTTCAGCTCTTGCAAGCTATCTGATGGACTGGCTTCAAGTACTGCATACCAGTCTTTCTGCAGAGCACTTTCATCTGTCATATCGGTCAAAATACAAATCTGTCATGTTTAGCACATCCTCTGTCAGTAAACCTGTTTAAAAGAAGCAGAATTACGTTATAAAAATTTTATGGGCTTCAAAATATGTTTTCTTTTATTGGTTCCTGACAATCCTGGGTTGTGGGATTTACAACATAAATAACAATACATTATTTTGTCTTTGTATTTATAAACTCCAAGGTGAATGTTGAAAATAGAAACCCCATACTTGTAAATGCCATCGAAAAGATTATCACAAATGAGATTACCTTGACGAATGCATTTCACTGTAGGTGGTGAACGACTAGCTAATCTAGTAATGTTTTTTTCATAAGTGAAAATGTGAACTTCTAGCTACAAATGGAAACTACCACAATCATTTCCCTAGTGAGGTACATCTCATTCAAAATCTGCCACACAAATTCGCCTTGGAAGCGGCATTAAAACAGCATGTGATTTTAGCAAATGCACCATATTTTGTGGGTAGATTAGATATTTTATTCTTGTCGACTGGCTCACTAAAAAAAGAGCTGCAACGCTAGGTAAAAACTGCGAAACAGCTGCGAATACACACATTACGTACCCTTTAAATTAAACATTAAAACCTTGTAACTACGAAAGACTGTTCTTTTTTTATTGGTGCTATTTTGAAACAAGAAAGCCATCCCCATTCTCTATTACAACGTTTCTCCAGTTTTCCAAATTTTCACTTACACATTCCCGTCCCAGACCACATGAAATGTTTGCTTCCGTTTTTAACTTCCCCGGGAAACATGGGTTAAGAACATGTTTTTGATGAACATGAACATATTTCTTTTAAATTGTATAACATTTTACAGATAGCATAAAAGCTATCGAGCACATATGATTAAGCAATCATACGGGGTAATTTCAAACAGAACCATTAAGCATTTATTATTTTTCATATACTAAACCTTTTTTATATTAAGGACCACGCTCTAGAAAATGAAATAAATGCACAATTAAAAATACAAGTTTTTTGTCAATGAATTATTACATTTTAAAGAAAAGTAAAGGCATTTATTTAGATAAAGATTACAATTTTAAAAGTTTCGTGTGAATTATAAGAAGGTATTTTATGAAAGCTATTTTCCAACCGGACTTAATAGCATGAGACACAACGGGGAAGTTGTTTGCAGTAGTGACGCCATCGCCATGGAAACAGCTGCACAACATATTTAAGTCTCTGTACAAATGTAATGTTAAAGAGTCTAATTAAAGAAGGTAAGATCTTTCTTGTGATCAATTTATTTTTCTTATTCTGCATTTTTAAAATATGGAATGCTTATATATGAAATATTTTTGTGCTAAATGAAAATATCGTAATCTTAATCTCTAAAATGAATAATTCCTTTGAATTCTTGCTAGAATTAGCATGTGAGCCTAGTACTGTACTGTAGAGGACTACACTTTTTCCAGAAAGTGAAAGGACAAAGATGAAATTTTTGTAACCATGATTTTGGTTAGACAAGCAATTCATCCTTTTAATATGCTTTGATAAAACCTAGATTAAAAAAATAGCAAATATTTTACCAACTAATTAATTATATATTGAGTTTTAATAATCAATTTTCATTATTCTTTGATTTCGGAGTAATACCTTACTTTATACCCCCTTTGTTACCAGTAACCAGCAATAGACTATAAATGATCATCAATGTCACCTTCTATGGCAATGAAGTATGTACTTTAATAGTATGTGTGAGTAAATGTATAAAAACAGCTTTAAATATTTAATCTGTTCAAGTAGATATCATACACACATTTAAGCAGAATACAAAAATGGTGCATTAATAATATATAACTGTAAAATCACAGGATAAGAATGTAAACTATAATAACAATAATTTATATTAAATGGCAAGAGAAGGATTAACCTATATATGACTGTCTACTGTGTGTGGATTGAAAAATACAGAAAGTTTTAAAAGACACTTTTTATTCTATGATCGAGCTCAATCGTTCCAGGATGTTACCCTTCAATATTAAACATTTTATTCTGAGAATGAACTAAAACCAGAACAGTCAAGGTGAAATGTCAAAACATTATTTTTAACTATTTCTCTTTCTTAAAATATAGTATGTTAAAGGTAGAAACTGGTGTAGTGTTACATTACTTTTTTCTTACAGCTGGTCTCATCACGACATATTTGTACCTATTGCAGTTGGAATTAAAGTTAATGTTCATGTAATCTGGTTCCATTCACACAAATTGTACCTAAATCAGCAAGAGCCACAAAACATTGTATTGTTAGATTGGACCGTGTTTTGAAATTGCCACCTACACAATGCTTCCATCTTTTTCTCTGCAGTTTGTTCCTTGAAATAATGTATTTTGTACAATATTCTACACAGGTATTCTGGCTGTTCCGTAGAACCTTTGCAAAATGATAACTGTGCTCCTGGGCTCTTGCAACAGCAGAAATAGTTCTGGCGGCATGGTCTAAAAGCTGGATGCTTTTGTGGATCTGAATGCATTGGGAGTTCCCATATTCCCACTCCTGCTATCATTGGATCACTGCCTGTGTTACCATTATTTTATGGAGTCTCCTATTGTCTAGATTTGTGCTGCCAGAGGTGGGGGAGCTTTTGGTATTGCTGCTGACAGGGTCAAATCTTTGTTGCATGATGCTTCTATTGTAATTGCTAGATTTTATTTTAGGGATCCTGTTTTTAGATAGAAAAATCAGATTTAGATAGATCACTTTATTGGCCATATACAATTTCTTGTATTAGGAATTTGTCATTTCACATAACCCAACTTGCTCTCCACGAGACACACAGACAGGGAGAGAAGCTTGGGGTCAGAGCACAGGGTCCGCCATTTATACAGCACCCTTGAAGCAGTTGGGGTTAAGGGCCTTACTCAGGGGCCCACCAGAGTAGGATTCCTCTGCCAGCTGCGGGATATGAACTGGCAACCTTCCAGGCACCGGCACAGGTCCTTAGCCACATAGCCATCGAGAGGGAGTGTGCTGAACATTAAGTTTTTCAAAACAATAGAATTGATAAAATGGGTACATAATAAAATTGATCTCACTAAGAAACATTCTGGCACTGTAATCTAATTGTCTACTAACTTTACTTTCCTCTTTTGACAGTGTTATTGACATAATCCAGGAATATTTGCTTGAATTGTATTTTGTCTTAAAGTGGGGACAACAAAATACAAACATATCATCATCTCTCTTTATTTTTTTAATCCACTAGTACCATTGATGATACATTTATCTGTCTGGACTTTGTTTTAATCCCAAATTTATGACACAAATAAGAAGGATTGTAGATGATCAGGCAAAAAAATATTTTGATTTACTATTAGTATTTTTAAATAGGATGTTTAAGTCTTCTCTGAGTAGATTTAACAAGTAGTGCTTATTACGTTTTTCCAAATCTCAAATAAAACACATTTCTGGGATTTTTTGTGCTGTTCACCCAATGTCAAACAGAGGTGTTAATTTGTAGGTTCCAATGTGCAAAATACAGTGGAGACACAGTCTATTAAAGTCAATTAAATGAGTCTAATGAAGAAAATTTTTAAGTTCATATCCTGACATTTCTAGCTTGATTTTTTTCCTATTGTATGGAACTTAAGTCCACTAATTACATTCAAAGCTAAGACATGCTTCTCTTTCAGAAGATTTTCTTTATATCTAGTGCTGCTTTTTGACTGCTGTACTAACAGTACTACAGTATTATATGTTTCAGAAGGCTTTATATAATTTAGTACCATTTTTAAATGAGTTTTTTTGTTTTATCTTTTACATTTAAGGAGACAAAAACTTTTAAATGGAATGGAAGCCTTTACAACTGTTTGTGAAACTGGGACGTGTATTCATGCAATTAACATCTATTTTGATAAATGATATTGGATTAAATTGATTTCTGTCAGAAATTGGTCAAATCTACAACAGGCATTAATTTCTAATGCAGTTTCTTACACTTTTAACATTTAATTTATCAAGAGTTTATAATGATGTAATCAGAATGATCATATTTAAAAGCAAACAACAAAAGGCAAGCATATTTTTATTGTGAAATATGTCTTATTTGTTAATTGTGTGGGGATTAGTTGGAAAGATCTTTGGTGTCATAAAAAATTGCTGCAAACGCACCTCTAGTGGAGTCTTTTGTAGCTCATTAGCAATTTCTTTAATGAGCATTTTGATAGATAGTTCATGTAACAGACAAGTGACAGATTGTTTGCCTTTAATTATTTCCCTGTTTCAGACGTATTGCAAAGCAATTAGAAATCTGACAGCATATTCACTGTGCATTGCCGATCATCTGAAGTGACGAGGAGTGAGAGGTGATGAATATTAAGTGTGTAATTTTTTTGTAGATTATCATGAATAATTGACTGTACATATTGTATAATGAAGTTACGACTTTGTTCCTGTTTATTGAAAAAGCTTGTATTTCTTATTCCATTTTTTTCTTAGTTTTTAACGCTTTATAAAGCTCAAGACAACTTCATCCTTTGCTTTAAGACTGCGGAGTCTGTCACCATAGTTTGTCCAAGGCAAACAATAAAGTTGAGAGATGGTGCAATGATGATAGTAGAGATTCTCAGTTCTGTAGTTCTGTAGAGTTTGGTCAGCTGAAGTTAATGCTGTGGTATAAAAAGGGTTACACAACCGAAGCACACACCACTATTCACTGTAAGACCTTCATGCTTGCTCTGCTATAACTGCATTTCCTTCCCAGACAAGTTCCAGCACTTTTAGACATATTTTTTATTAAATTTAGAAGTTAAAACACATGTCAAATAAGTTAGAGTTCAGATATTAAGATTTATTATTTTCTGTCTGGTAGTTTTCTGTTGATCTAACACTTTATGTATGTCATGAAAATAATGCAGACCCTAAGGCATTTAAAGGCAGACACATAGTCCAGAGATTATAACATCACAGCAAGCTGGTATTCTATTTTCTGGATGGATGGCAAACCTTAAGAGCTACTCAATGTTGTTTTGTGTCACTTTGATTACTTGTCAGGGTAAACGTCTCCAAAACACTTCAAGACATTAGAGGAGCCTTAAGTCTGATGAAGTGCACATAAACACGATGGATCATCAGTGTTTCACAGTTTACATTGGCAACATCTGCATGAAAAATGCAATTATCATCTGAACTATGGGGTGCACATGGCATACATTTATCTGGAGATGAAGCTGAAATGTTTCTGGGCTCCATGTCTTTTATGTGGTACTGTTGCAGTTTGATGAAAGCCTTTAACAGTCTCATGATTTAAAGGAGGCTATTTTACTCAGTATTGCTTCCAATGCTGTCAGTTCATTGCATATTCTTCATATTCTTTTCATTGTAGGGAACATACTGCACACAGTTATGGATTGTAGACTGGATAAGCAATGAATCGATGGCCAACAAATGAATGAAAGAACTACAGTAGATTACCATCCAAGATAAATTAAACTTTGTTTTGCATAGATATACTGTACTTACCAATATTTTTACTTTGTTCCTCATTTACGCAGCTTTTTTAAGATCTCTATCTTAAAAACAGTTTTATATTTTTTCATGCATCTAATACAAGGTCAATACATGCTTATACCAGTTTTAAACTTTTGCTATCTTCATAATACTGTGGTGAATATATTAAGATTGCATTCAAACTTCTCATCTGCAGTCTGTAGAGTTAGAAAGACGTTTTGATCATGCACATTGTGTTTAAGTTTGCTCATTATTCACTCATAATTATGTAAACATACCTCTTTTATTGTTTACAATAGTAATTAAGTTCCTACAACTACAAATAAAGTTGTGCATTACCAATTGTAATAATTTGAATGAATAAATGATTTATTTTATATTTCTTCTACAGACTACTTTGCATTTTGTAATCTTTCAAAATATATTTTATGACTGAGCAAAAGAGCTTAGCTTGTGATTCTACTTACATTAACAACTTTACGTACAGTAACGTCTAACTGTTCTTATTGTTGTAAGACGTCAAACTCTATACTTTGGAAAAAGTTCCATGAATAATACAATGCACAATGGAAATTTTGACCTCCCTATGTAACTGTGTTTACCGAGGCAAGGCAAGTTTTCTATTCACATTCCAGTTGTGTTTTTTCCTGCAAAGTACTTTTCTTGATAATCTTCACCCATCTTTACACTAAAAGTTACAAAAACGTTAAGCACCAATGAATACTACATGTTTTATTGGATAATTTCAAAAGTACATTTTTCAACTTTTCAAATTACATATCAAATAAACTGAATTTCAAACATATTCTCTGTGATATGCTTAGGTTTTTCTTATATGTACACAGTATTCTACCTAATTTAAACATGAATTGTTGCATTGTCACTTCACATACTGTAGCTACATTTCATTTTTAATAAAATAAAATATTTATGTGAATATAAATAATATAATAATATATAAATATTCATTGCATAATAATATTAATAATATATATGAATATGATCTTTGTGGCTTTTTTGTAATTAAATAATATAGATTGAGATGGGATTTACAGATTCATCCCTGGAATAAGCAAATAAAAAGCTATAAAGCAATGGTTCAAATTGAAAAGCACACAGAGAAAGAAAACTGTGTAAAAAATGAATTAGAAAAAATAGGATCCAGTTAAAGGAAATGTGTTAAATTAACTATAATCACAGCTAAAAAGAATACAAAGGCCAAGGAGGAAATTGAAATGAATATTACATTGAGCATAATAATGTTTTTGTCAACCTGACAAAACCATAGAAATTGTAAAGGATAAAGCACATTCTTATAGCAAAGGATAAAAATGTAACACTAAGGTGATGAAAGGGAAGTGTATTACAAATACTCAGGTGTTTACCAGTGAGGAAATCAAAAACACGGCTCAAGAACAACGTGACAAGAGGAAAAGTTTCATATTGAGTTATAATAGTATAGAGGTATCACAGTTACTAAAAGCTTCAGGGCTTGATTCCTCCAATTGTAACCTACTTAAAGAACCAAGAGACATCATGCATATTTAGCAAAACCTTTCAACAGATCCTTGAGACAGAGGTCACCCCTATTGAATAAGCATCTCTAATACAGCACCCATTCATAAAAAGAATGATAAAACTGAAGTTTATTACATGTCAGGTTATGGAAATGATTAATCACACTAAACTTAATAGGTTTCTAGGGGATGAAACTCCTATTTAATCTTTAGAAAATGTAGATTCTAGTGAAATGGCTTGTGAGAATTATTACAGAAGTTACTGTATGGATACAAACACAACCTTAATTCTTAAACTGCAGGCAGTAGACATTAAAGGAGCTGGTTGGTACTGTATAAAGGCTAAAGGAATAATAGTAGTTAAAGTCAGATAATATTTCCTTTAACCAATTTCTATTGAGAAGGGCGTATAGTTAAGTACACAATGCTCAGAATAGGGTGATGCAATTCCTGGTGTACCAGGATCTGAATTAAGGTGTGCTATACTATAGAACTGTACTATAGAATTTACATCGAAAATTCAAAAAGATTTGGACAGATTTTCAAGACATCCGACAGATGACCATTAAATTAGATAAATACAGAGTGTCACATGCAGAGTGTTGCTCCGGAATCAGTACATAGATGAGAACATGGAAGTACAGAGGAGTAGATAGAAAGGGCTAGAAGGAACGTCATCCTCTGACAGGCCAAGATAACTCTCAGTGTTTTTAAGCCTGGAGCAGAGAGAGACTATGAGAAACACTGATTCATTTTATTCAGCTGTAATTCACAAAGATGCCCAGAAATGTCTCTAATTGTGAGTCTTAACATTGGATAAAGGATTTCTTTTGGTGAAAATCTCAATTGTGGGATTTTTGTTATAAAATTCCGATTAAGTAGAAATAGCACAAAAGTGGATTTATCTTTTTTTTTCTAATAGTTGTAGTGTAATTCAAATTGCTAATGATTGCTGTGTTAATTACTAATTAGCATCTGAAAGAAATAGAATTGTGCTAACTCTAATTAGAAGAATGTAAAAGTTAAAGAAGCACTTAAATAATTTAATCATAATGTAGCCATTAACAGTGTCTTAGATTTCTTCAACTATTTTTTTTTTTCACAGTATGTTATCAGATCTTCTGGATTTATGAAGTGACCCCAAAAATATTTAGGTGTAGGTTTAATGGAGTGAAAACAGATTTTGTTTTTTTTTCTTTGTTTTGTATGTGTGGTCCAATTAGTGAAGGGAATCAATCCCATACAGCACTGGAATTCTAATTAAAAAGTAAATTAATTGTGTGTTGAGTAAAAACATGATTTTTTGGAAATTTTCACAATGAAGTAGGTGTTGATAAAATCTAAGGATATTTGGTGCTCAAAGTGTTCTAATTTTGTAGTGTGTTTCCTTTTTCTAAGAAATAGACCTAGTGAATACCAATTATAAATGTGAAACGCACAGCTAAGCTTCAGTGTGCTTAGTGTTGAATTGTTTTAATTATTGAAATTTCTGTCAGGTTTAAAATTGAATGATCAACTTCCAACAACTTAAAGGGAGCCTAGTTCATAATATAATCCTTCATTTTTTGTAACCTCTTCTTTATTGCCTTCTTATTTTTATACACTACTATATGATATTAATTGGAATTCTCAAGTGTTATCTTACGCTGTAAGTAAAGTGGAGGGTATGAAATTAAAGGAAAGGAACCAGAAAGGTATCACTTACAGATGTTCTGTGTCTGCATTGCTGGTTAAAATTAAAGAAATGTAAAAGGTGTTATTTTACAGCACATCACGCATTTTCCGTGTCTTAATTTGTGAAATTGTTCAGTGAGCGAATGAAATGCAGATTCAAGAAAGGTGTTTCTCTACTCAATTGTCAGGTAGTTCTCAAGGTGACCTTCCCTCAGAGTGAAGGATAGCAGCTCTTATTGATTTTCGGGAGCAGATGCGTGGGATGTCAGAGTGAGTAGCCAAGCCTTTTGTTGCCAAGCTCTGATTAAATAAAATATACTTAATTTTGTTTAAATAAGTATCATTAATAATCCTTTTGCCAATCACTTTTTACACCTTAATATTTTTATCCAAGTGATATTAAATTTGTATGACATTTTAAATCAAGTTAAAGTATCTTAAAAAAACTGTGATGTTTGGTAATTGCAGTGCATGATGCTGCATTAACTTTGAAAGTAATAGCTATGGTCATTCTGTAATATTGGAACTAATGATACAGTGTACTGTACATCTACAGCATGCTCAGATTGAAGAGTTAGTTTTAGGTTTCTCTCAGTGTTCTTCATGTTTTGTGTTTCATGTTTCATGTTGTGTGTCTATTTTGTGTGGGGAGAGAAGCATACCTGCTCTTTTTTTCACCTGAACTTTCACTTATAGTACATAATTTAACTCTTAATTGACCTAATATTAGAATTAATTTGAAGCCTTCAATTGTTTTCATTCTCTGAACGTGTTGGAATTGCATTTTAACTATTAGGTTTCATAAATAAAAAGTTATTTCCTTAAGCTTCTCAGTAGAAAAGTAAACAAATTGAAAAGGCTCCAAGCAACTTGCTAATTTAATTAAGAATTCAATTAAATAAAGATCTTGACTGGAACCAAAATCAGTAAGTGTCTATGTCCAGAGTCAGGATCTATGTTTGATGAATGGTACCGTATTGTAACATGGCTTCTGAAATAAATGAATGAAGACCATTGTTGATCACTATGCATCTTCTCATCTCACCATTGCACATGACCATTTTTCTATTCACGTTTTTTCAGTCTTCAGAGACTAAGATGTTGTATGCACTTCAATGTGGTCTACCTTGAACTGCCTGTTCTTATCTGTGTTGGAATTACTGTAGATATGTCATGTTAAAGTGTTACATAAGGTTGCACACAGCCTGTTCCTATAGGAATGAAAAGAAAGGGAAACTGGGTTAAGAGTTTGATTTGACACAGTCCAGAACAGAGCTCTTGTCTAAGAGCAGCCAGAACCTATTTGTCTTCATATTGTGTCTGCTAAGTAAGGTGTACAGTGAGGCAATCATAGTTGATAATTATTTTGTTCTCCTAAGTCCTTTTAACGTCATGAAGTCAATGTTGCATTTCAAGTCAGAATTAAAAAATGTGTGTGGTGGTGCATGACCTAACTGCAGTCTGCTGTTTTGGTGAGCTGAGGCACAGAAGATGAGTTTATATATGAGTTATATGCTACGAACTGTATTTTGCTCTGAACTGCACTCTTAACACTTTTCAGGCATCATTGGGTGGAATAAATTAACTAAATAATAACCAAACATGAAAAGCTTGTTATCATGATGCATGTACAGTAGAGCAATAGTGCATGGTGTTTAGATCTAATTTTATGATTTGTACATGAGGACACATTACCTCTTTCTGAATGTAATAACAGTTTTCCAATTGTCTTCTTTGGGAAGAGATGGCAAGTGTAAGGAGACCAGCAAGTTCCAGCACAACTGACAGCAAGACTTCTGGGAAAACTGAAGGGAGCAGAAGACCATGCAGTGCTTCCCCTGGCTCCCTCCAGAGCAGTCTTGAAGACCTGTTAGTGCAGAAGTACAATGAAAGGTTTAATGCAACCTTAACATCTACGGCTTGTCATCTTCCCAGGTAAGCAATAACTTTACTGAGCATGGCCTGAACTCCAAAGCAAGGCCTGGCCTGTGACAGGTAGCTTGATTAAATTGGAATAGTTATACACCATTCTAAGCATGAAGTTTTGTCAAGTTTCCTTCAACACAATATTCTACAATATAATAAATATTCTAAATCTTGCTGATATAATCTAAATTTTGTTGCTTTGTATTGTATTAAAAGCTTATTCTTGGTTTATTCTGTGAGAAGTATTTTTTTCATTACTTAATATTAAGGTTTCTTCTTCTTTCATTGTATAAATATATAAAGATCTTTGAGGACTCCCAAATCGACTATTAATGCTAAATATCTTTTGCTACTTGAAATACTGTAAATGTTGTTGTGCATTTATTATTAACACATTATTTAGTTATTGGATTATATATTTAAAAAAATAAAAGACAACTGTCTTACTTATAGATCTGTCTTACGCTTACAGATCACAATTGTTTTGATAGATCACAAATCTTTTCCCCTTCTGAGGCATGAGGCTTTGTTGTGATAGCTTTAACTAGTTAAAATCAAGTATTAACAAGTGTTGGCTTTTAAAAATACTCTAGTTCACTAAATTCATAGTACTCTACATAGATACATAGAGGATAGATGGAGCTAAAGAATAAACCATTTAAGATCCCATTCTTAGAGTTAAGTACTAACCACTTGTAATTCAAGTATACCACACAGCTTTGTTCCTTATCATCCATTGTTCGTGCCTTCTATGTATGCCCCTCACCCAGTCTGATTAGAGTTCCCCTACTGGCATAAGAAAAAAACATTTCTGTTTCTTTACAAAGATCAAGGAACCGAGTGCCTTGGATGTGTGCCAGATGTGTGTGTATTTGCGTCTGTGATTGATTATTCTTACAGTAACATTTTTCAAAGAACTCTAAGAAGGTTAACTACTGCCAATGTGCATTAAAAATGTATTAGAGTAGGAGGAAAAAGGCAAGATATTTTTTTAAAAAGCACTTGTTGAAAGGGTCCTTGTACCATGTCAGTGTTGCTATGCCATGTCAGTATTACACTGGCTGTCAGAAGAAGAAATAAAGAATACATCTGAATAATAGTGGATTAAAGAGTTATGTCACAGCTTGATCCATGGTACACATAAAAGTATTACCAGCCAATGCAAATTCATCACAATAGTTTTTGCAGAGTGGAAACAAGGAAGAAGGGACTGTTTGACCGACAGTAGTCTGGCAGTGAGCCATAGTAAAGCTAAACCCCTGCCAACTGTTATTATCCTAGGGGTGAATTCACTACTAATATACTGTGTGATAGGCTAGAACCGCATACTTCTCGTTGAAGCACGGCTTGTCTGAGTAGCAGCATTTTTCACTTTTGAAAAGGATTGTTGGCCTCATGGGGACTGGTGTCTAAGAGTATGGAAAATGACTAGATTGGTGAGGATTCTGTTAACGCTCAACTGTTTTGACACTACATAAAAGAAAAATATTTACTGAACTCCAGTTACAAACCAGACAGAATAAAGAGCCTATACAAGTAGTTCATCTAAGGGTTTTTTCAGAATATATTGTGTACATAAAATCCTCACTAAATAATCTTGAAATACATAAAAAACTCAAGGTTACAACAGTGCAATTGGAATTTGTAAAATATTCAGTATATTCTTTTCAATAATCTTTATCATTATAAAAACTCAATTTCTGTTAACATTAATCATTAATTTATGTGTCTGCAAATTGTATATAACCTATCATATTTGTTAAGTACATACCAGTTTTTAATTTGTTCATAGGACAAATAAAGAGTAGATGAAATACTAATATATTCATCATACAAGACACTGTATTACACTCTATTGCTGATCTTTAAGGAAACAGCTTTTAACCATGATTTAATACAGCACATGGTAGATTTGAAAACCTACAGTATAACCCTTGTTTATTATTACATCAAAATGTATTGGTACTGGCTTTTGAATTAAACTACTGTTATTATCTTTATATCTGCAGGAAATTCCTATCTCCTTATGAAAGCAAGACCTTAAAGGAGTGTAAAAAAAGAAGACATTCAGCACATCTTTCTCTAGGCTCTCGCCCACTTTCCACAGCATTTGCAATGGGGTCACAGTCTCGAGATTGCCACTCAGATGAAAACAGTTCAGTCAAAAGCAATGAGGGAGCATCAGAGTGCAACAGCAGTACATCAAACAGTATAAACAGGACAGGGCCCATATTGCCTTCCAAAGGCAAGAGACCTTTCAGTGCTCCCGGATCTCAGCTCAGGTAACCACAATAATTCCTTCTGTGTCATACACAGCTGGCCCTGAAGATGCATTTTCTTACCTGTCCATTGTTACGCAGTTTTTTAATAAAGAAAGGAATGCGTAAATAAGAAGTTCAACTAGTGCTGTATGTATCTTTAATTCCCCTTTTATTTTCATTTCATGAAATGCTGCCTTGGAACTTCAGCCATAGCAGAAACAGTATAAGCTATTCATTCGTAGCTACAGTACTTGTATGTAAGAGGAAAATGATTCTTGACTAGGATGGCTAAGGTGCAATGCTAATGCTAATTAATTTTTTAACACACTGTTAAAATTCACGATCCACACAGAAAACAAGTAAACTTGACCTCTTAATGTACAGATCATTTTAAAAATAAATCTTCTCAATGTATTTGGTGTTCCACCTTTCAAAGTACTGTATTTCATACAAAACAGTCAAATTTGTCAAGTACTTGTTACCAACTGTACTTGGTAATCATCTAGAAGCTAGAATATTGTAAATATAATTGTTAAAATCCATTAAAATAGTTTTGATGAAAGGTAATGAATAGCTTCAGGATTATATTCTAAGATGTATTTGATAGGCAATGTACCTGAATATAATTTTAAATATTTGTCTTCATATTCAGTAGCATTTTACCTATTAACTGTAATTCCTATATTTATGTCCAAGATGTATACAGCTCATATGCATGCATGCAATTATTTGTGGGTTTTTTTTTTTCCACTGAAGGAGGTCACTTCATTTTTCAAGAAAGTCTCCAGTCTTTAAGTATAAGCCTTGGATAATTAGAGTAATTGCTTACAAGAATGGATCAAGATGTACCTTTGCCAGAGTCACTGCCCCCAACATGAATATGGTAATCTTATAATTTTCTCTATTCCAACCCTCTGTGGAACTGGAGCCACGGTTGTCTTATGTGGATGCCATTGGCGAGTTCATGCCTCAGATGTTCTGTTTGTTCATGTTAGAAGAATAAGATGGCCAAAGCAATACTTGGGTATTGTTTTCATGTAACTGTAATCTTAGCATTATGTGTTATTGCGTTGTCCTGCTATAACATCAATACTTCTGGAATGACTTCATCAAGGTATTGCTGAACATTAAGGAGTCATCACCAAAGACACTCTGATAAAGGGTGATTCCTCTCCATATAATCACCCTTCCATAGCTCCACAGTGGATTGTCTTGAATGTCAGAATAATGCTTTTCACTTTGTTTCCAGACATGTTGCATTTAGTCAGATTTGTCAAGGATAAAATGCAAATATTCCACCAGTCTCTACATCCACCTTAGGCCCACAAAAGACAGAGATTTAATCTCTCAGCAGACAATGTTTGACAACGTGGCTAACATTTGAATGCAGGCAGCAACCTTCAATCATTGTGAGAAAAGAGGGATTGTATCTGGATTTTGTTTGTGCTGTTGCCTCTGCTATTTAAAAATGATTATGCAGATGGATCTGACTCATGATGCAGTACAAATGTCTAATATGGAATGTGAATGTGAATTTATCTACCCATATACAGAAATATTAGCACTATGCACCAAACATATACGTTTGCTTTTATTTTTGTGTTTTAGGCTAAACGTTTTAGGAGATGAGCTGTCATGTGTCTTGCACTTAATGCAGAAATTAATTAAATTCAGTAACGTCATTTACAGTATAAACAGCATCAGCTGAATGAAATTTCAAGACATTTACAGCTACCTGTATATTAGCCATAGCTATATTGTAGATGATACTTGTGCATTTTTGTTATTGAGCCCCTAATTATTGTATATAATCCTTCCATCTCCTTACCTCTTGTTTGGTTTGCAGTTGTTGGAAGAATGCACCATTAAGCTCAAGCTGAACACTGCAGCCCGGCGGGTTTTTCTGGCAAATGGTGAAGAAGCATTTGAACCAAAAGACATTCCTCATGATGCTGATGTTTATATTTCATCTGGCGAAGTGTTTGTGGACCCATTTAAAGAAGTGAAAGGTACCAAAATCACTCCAAATCAGACGTGATGCATGAGCCGAGCTCATTACCACGCCACATTGCATACCTCAGCAAAATGAATGTTTACTCATTTACAGCTCAGTAAAAAGATAATGTGCTTAATGAAAGAAACATCTACTGACAGCTTTGTTTAATGCTCTTTATTAGCATCAGTGCTTAATTTAATTTGGATCTAAATGGACATTAGGGAGTCTGCAGGAGGTTAAACATGGAAAAGATAATAAATTAAGTCAGAGATTTATTGAATCTTTCTATTAGTTTAGGTGACATTAAACAGACTCAATCCATTATGTTTATTATATAATCCTGGCAACTCTGAGTCAAGCCTCAACAATTCACTGACTTTAGCGCCTAAAATAATTTGGAATTTAAAGCAAAAAATAACCCATACCTAGCTGATGCTAAGCTGCTTTAAATTAATGTTTATTCATTTAGCACTGTTTAAAGTTTCATCATTTTGACTCCAGAGCTATGTCATCTCTTTCAATGTTACATAACTCAAATAATGTAATGCTTTCTAAAACAATAATTATCTCATTCAAATAATATATAAGGCAGAACTGAACACCTTATAACCTAAAATTAATTTGAAACAGATTATCATCATTAGAGATTAGGATATTTATCTATTAATAAAGAGTTATACCATAATTGAAAAGTTTATTCCACTTTGGAACCATACAGTATGTGTTCCATATAACCCTAAAAACTAAACATTTGTTTGTTATTTAATACTATTTTATATGCATTATTCTGTATTGTATTTATTAGTTGGAATATCCATTGAATGTTTGACAAGTTGAAATGTTTCTAAATGAGTCCTATGACACTATCATAATATCCTCTTCATATTGTTGGAATGGCACCATTATGAACAATGCACATGCTGAGTTTTGTAAATAATTGTACAATTGTTAAGTTTATTTATGAATACTTTTTCTGAAGCCAAGTTCAGGGTAGGAACTTCTGTGCTTCAGCTGTGTTACTTTGGCTGGGTTTCATGGCGACATGCACTGCTGTTCTTTCAGCACCAAAATGTTGGCATGCCACACTAGAATTTCATACTGGCTCTTGCTGGATCAGCAAGCTTAACCCACTAAAATCTGGTGCTGTGCGATGGTTTTTGACTGATAATCAATCTTTGTGCTGCTCGACAGTTGTCGCTGGGACATAAAGTGGAGCAGGTGGCAGATGGGCCTTGTCTGTTGAGACCAAAACTACTAGGTGAGCTCTGAGCAGAGCACAGTGTAGGTTAGAATGAGGAAATTAGCATTCTTAAAATTTGTGTAAAGGAAGGATGCTACACTTTCACATGCAGTGGGTATATGTTAAGGAATAACTTTTAATGTTCAAATAAAAACAGCATTTCATTTGAGATAAAAAAGACCCTAAATCTGCTTCCTTTTTTGTAAAGCAGTTATCGTAAGGATTATCTCACACTATGATTAATTTCACAATTTTAATCAGATTTTAACATCTTAATTGCAATTTTGATATGTTGTACAGTTTTCCTTTGAGATTACTATTAATATTGAAAGGATTTATACAATAGAATATTTGCACACAAATGGAGGGCTAAAACACTTTTTTGCAGCCCACAGAACTTAACAAATATACTTATCTCATTTGTGACTTGACAAAAAGTATGAAAACTTCGAATGACTTATGTGGCATGTCTAAGAAATGTGATACCTGTCAAAAAAGTTTTCCAATTTCTTCTAAGTGAGTTGATGTGTTTTGACAAGTTCTGATTGATAAAGAGAGGTGTGATCTACGGACGTTACCCGTCATCTGTTTTGTAGGAGTATGTGTCAATGAAATTATGTATTTACATCTTTCTAATTGCTGACTGATTTAGACATTCAGGATACTAGTCAAGGAGCCAGGTAGCACTGTAACACTCCTAACTTCATGCACAGCAAAACTTAATTGCTCTGTCATTTTCTGTATTTCACGAAGAGCAGAAACCCTTCTGTTAAATGAAGCATGCTTTGCCTACGTTGTATAGCAAATGTTCTCAGGAATGTTTTCTAATTTTCAACAGGCTGTAAGGTAAGGTGAGACTTTCTGGTGTATTATTTAACCCATTAATTGCACAGTAGTAAAGAGGAATTCTTTTTTTCTGTGGTGCTGAATTTAGCTCTCCTATTTGCCGTTTAAAGGCACATTAAACTCAGAAAAAAAACATTTGTAATATACCTATAATTCATTCTCATCTTTTGCTTAATACTATTACATTTGTAAAACAAAAAAGTAATGCATCTTAAAGAGCTTAGTCTTTTTTAATATATCATGAGAAAAATTAAATGTGCTGCCATGAATGATAATTTAAATAGAAGACAAATGAAAAACTTTGAAAAGTAAATGTGAACTCCTTCAAGGTGAATAGCTTAGAAACGCAATGCAGAATGTTGGAGATATCATCACATTAGTTATGGGATTTATCTGCCTGCCCTACTTTAGAAATATGTTGTTGAATGATTGATACAGTAGTGTCGTTTTCCTGGTGTATGCATATTTGATCAGCATTAGGTCAACATCGGTGATAATACATTTTGAGAAAAATACATGAATTAATATAATATTGGATTACTTATATTGTAATTATAGATTAAGCACAGTAGTGAACTATATTACACCCATCTTATTATAAATAATAGAAAACTGCCAAATACAAGATTAATGTCTGGGGGAAAATATCTTTCAAATTATTTTCTACTTATTTTTTTAATTGAGTGAATCGAAAGATTTATGAGAACTTTTTTAATATATTTATTTTGAAGCATAAAATTGCTCGGCAGATCCTCCTACATATTTCAGTGTTAGAGATTATATCTTTCGTGACGTTTGAAGACTGTGTTGAAAGGTGAAGTGCTTAATCAGGACATTAGTAATGGTTTAAGGGAGAGTTCTGACAGAGGAATCTTCCTCCTGAGTGGCCCTCCTAGCCCTGTGTACCAAGCTGCACTCTGCAGCACAGACCTGTCTTGTCACGGGTGCGGTGAATTCACCAATGAAAGCATTTCAGAAATGCACTGTTCCTCTTCTAAGAATACAGACAAAACAGTAAGACAGGGTGATTGGCATAGCAAATTAGCTGTTCATAATTTATGTCAATGCTACAACAAGGCATGTATTTGACAAGATGTCAGAGTAAGGTTATTAAATTCAACATTTTCATAAACAAGCCCAAGGCTTCAAACAACAATGCTGGTCTTGCTTGAGACCAGGTTGCGTTTATTTGTTTTATTTTTCAATAGATGCCAAGTGGAGATGTGTTAAATTAAAATAATAATAATGTCAGCACTATTTTCTAAACAGCGATAATCTGGTTTAGATCATTGCAAGATTATCTTCTTTGTTAGGTTCAAGACCAATGAATTTTATCATGTCTGTAATTTTATTCAAAGGGTATTAAAAGTAGGAATACAATTCAATGTTTGTTTTGAATTTACTCAGAGTAAAGTGAAATACTATTATCATTTCTTCTGTTGAAGACATCAAGAATAACAGCAGCTTTTTCCAGTTTCCATTTAAACCAGGTGTGGTTGACCAGCCAATTTGGAAAACCTATCTGATACGAAAGAAACAGAAATGCCTTTTTTACTCCTTATTCAAAATTGAGATATTACATTAACATTGGTGCAAATACTAAATGTGTAAGTTCTTATTTAGAGGTTAGACCTGAACAATGAACAATGAAAATCCAAGTAATATTTATTTGCCATTATGAAAACTTAATTAACTTACAGGATTAGATAACAAGCAGGATTCAGTTCTTAGCAGGTGTCAAAAAAGACACAACACATTGCCATTAGCCGACATGAAAAAGCACAGTCTGATTTCAATACTACAGTCACAAGTATGTTCATTTTCAAGCCATTTTCATTTTTATTTTGGAATAAGTAGAGGTTGTTAATGCACTGAAAAGCAGAAAAGGAGAAGAAAACCAAGGTTTCAGTTGTGGAACCTTCTTTGGCCTTTTTCAGGTCTTCACATGCCTGAAAAAGTTGCCACAGCCGAAACCCTATTATGTTCCTCACGACTTTCAGTGTAAAATTAACATCTAATGTACTTGATTCTTTGTATCTTGCAGGCCGACTATCTATATTTTCATTTTGTTCCATTCAATGAAAAAAGAAATTAGGTACGCCAAAAATATTTTAGAAGTGATTTGAGTAGATGTACCAGTCAGTCCTACATAAGATGTGAACTTAATCAAAATAAACTCTATACTTATGAAACTCTATACATATGAAAAGTTGGAATATTTTGACTTTAAGTGTATACTTCTTATGAGCCAGCAGAATGAAAAAGGGGTCAAAAGAAATGGCAGTGTGGGTGAGTAACTAAATAATCAGCTGATTAGTGAGAGAGGCATGCTAAGGTGAATTTTAATTATGGCTAAATTGTGGTATTACTCTTTCATACCCTGAACATCTGCTCCCTTCAGGAACAATGATTTATGCCCGCTATCAGCACGGCCAGCTTGCTACAGCTTATGTTGTGCTTAGTGGGAGCTGATGGTAGTATTTTGATGATATGCACATAGATGTGGAGTATGGCCAATGTATGTTAAAACGGGAGGGGGATGGGTACTTCAGTTTTTCTAGCCAAATATTGTCTTTACCTTTTCTTCCAGACCATCTGTCATTGGCCAAGGAGGCTAGTTGGACGATGAACGGCGTGGTGCTCCCTAATGATGCCAAACGTGGAAAAACCAAAGTCAGCCTCTCGCAGCGTTTGAGACGACTGAGTGAGAAGACAGCCATGAGGGTTCTAGTATTTAAGAACGGAACGGGGAGGACTGGTTATGAGGTCACCTCTGCGAAGGATCAGATGGAAAAGGTAAAACAGTGGGCTCAAACATTCTTACTTGGAATGCTCTGTGTTATTCTGGAGAAGTAACCAGGTGTAGACCGACATTCACCTTGACAAGAGTTTTTTTTATATTGTATCAGACTTTTTTTCTTTTATTAGTCTTCAATGCACACTCAACAACAATCATTTTTGCTACTTTAAAATAACAACACACAAACCATTTTCTCATTTTACATTTCTAAGAGCAATTACTGAAAATAACAAGTGAATACAACACATAAGAAACAGGAGAATGCATAATCAGTTAATATAAAAAGATTCTTCAAAATGAATCACAGAGATTGGGTTTTTCTACAGTGTCTTGGAGCTATTACTGAAGCTGTCAGTTTTGAAACAATAAATACTAGATCTGAGTTAAAATAACCTGAACAACAAGTAGCATTAGGTCAGCTGCCTGTTGGAATGTAAAAAGTGAACTAAAGTCTATCTTCTTTAAAATCTACTAAATTGTAAGTGTGCATTTCATTTTACTCACAGTATGCTTATGTTGGTGAAATAAGAAACTGTAGGATTCTTCTCCTTTTCTTAGTTCAGTGAGTATGAAGTGCATATTAATCTAATCTGAACTTAATCCTGGTCGATGAACCAGTGGAAATAAACCAACTGGAATTAACAGATCCCTTTTCCTTTGTGCCCCATTATGGAACTCTGCCTCCCTCGATTAGAAATTTCTGACACTCGCTCTGTTTAGAATCTGCCCCAGGCCATCGCATGACATTTTGAATTTAGCTTTGTTACATTTCTGATTTAATGTTTTCATTGTAATGGTTTACTGTAATATATGGTGATAGACCATGTATGTATTAAATATATCCATAAAACTTGAGAATGCACTGCCGTTAGGAACTGATCAAACTTTAAATATAAATTATATGTGTATGTATGTGTATATCTGTATACAGTATATACAGTATAAATGCAGTCCCAGTACTGATTCTGGCTGTAGGGGGAACCAGTGCCACTCTTCTCATGGGCAAGTAATGGGATTGGGTGCCCAGCTCCCTTCCTCATTGAGAACAGACAAAGAAGAACCACAGACTTTGGCAGTATGAGTGCCATGCTCAAGCCACATGAGACATACAGTCCATTAAATACCAAATGTAAAGTGAATCATAATTAAATACATTATTTACTTAAAATTACATATATTGAAATCTGGACATTAGAATGTATTGCACTTTACAAAGTGGTGACATATGGTGTACTGATTCTTGGGTTACCCTGTTGTGTATGGTTGGATACGTTTATTTATAAATAAAGTTCCATGGTTTTCTCTCCAGAACCCTACAGATTTAAAGTCTATATTGATGAACGTAACTAGATTACTTAGTGTACTAAACTCTCTAGTAGTTTAAACAGACATGAATTTTGTGGTTCTCAAATATGTTACAAGTTTAAACATTTTCAGTCTATATTATAAAATCAACATTTAAAGAGAATTCAAGGAATAAGCAACTTTCTGATGATGGATGGATGATGGTTAGTTGAAGTAACTAGTTAATGAAGCACATTTAGCATGTTCAAATTAAAATGTATTTTAAAAATGCATACTAATGAAAAAAAAGACTGAAAATACATGTTCATAATGAGTATTATCATCGGAAGACAAGTGGAAGTCTTGCGAGGATTGAGCCTTTGACATTTCACACCACTTTCCCAACCTTTCTCAGTCAATTTTCAGATCCACTATTACATTTGTCCTTTGAGGGATTTCGAAGTCCTTGTTAAGCTTATTCAATGTTTGTATTAAAATTATCCAAAGAATGTACAGGCTTACTGTATATTTAATACAGTGATATGTTCAGTATTTTAAAATGCCACATTACTTTTTACTGTCTACTTTCTATAAATTTAGTAGTTTTCTTCTAAGGAAGGTCATAAGTGCTCAATACAATCCATTCTAGAATGCCCCAAAATGGGGCCATTCTCTTCATATGTGTGATTTATTGGTGATGTTGCCTCTCATCCTATTTTTGGAAATGTTATGGATCTATTACAAAAATAAAGATGTGCCTTATTTGTGCAAAAAACACCATTAAATCTTGCATTTCTACATAGTCAAAGGCAATCGATCATCACCTGCTCAATCCTTTCATCTCTCTTTCTAGGTTGTGATTCCTAACAACTGTACATCAAGTTCAGACTGCTGAGGTGTCATATGTCACAAACTAACAAGTTGCTTAAATGTGATATTCAAATAGCTGACTAGCATTTAAATATGCATTTGTAAGAGAAAGCATCTAAACAATTGGGAGAGGATTTGCTTCACTTGTTTTTCATTCATCATTTGGTTTCATGCTTTCTTTTTCTCTTCTAGTTCCTAGATCTTTGTACTGAGAAGTTAAACCTCACATCACCAGCGAAAGTCCTCTATGACTGGGGAGGAAATCGAATTGAAGACATCAGCCATAGTATGATTTCCTTTTCTTTTCCTCTTTTTAAGGCCTTGCTTCCGAAGCTTAAGCCTTGTGTATAATGCTATTTACTATAGAGAACCAAAGCTACAGAGTACTGTTAGTAAGGGGGCATTTATTAAACACTGACATAATCAAACCATCTGAAAATAAACAACCAGAAGTGCATACATAAATTGACAGTATGCAGAACTGTCTCCTGGACGACAGCTTCCACATGTCCAGATCTCTCCTCCAAGCAGTGTTCCATGCGTGGGATGATGTTCATGGCCATGCCACTCCAAGTGTCAGGGGGAGAGGAGGTGATAACAGCTTCACTGTTTGCCTTCAAGTCATCACAAGAACATGTAGCATGGCCCTTGAAGGATCGCTCTGTCACTAAGAACACTAGGAAGGCATAATGTGACATGGCATGGCATAACACAGCTTGATAGATGGACCCCTGTTACGTCTTGATCCATAACTTCTTAAGTATCCAAGGAAGGTACAAGCTGCGTTGTGGTATTCAACCATTAGGTTACAAATTGTGAAGAAGTGCACTTTAGATCTTGTGGTTTGTTTTTTCATAGCTCCATGCGTATTTCACAGTTCTGTGGCACAACACCATAGAACTAATAGATATAGCATTAGAAATGTACAGAATTCTGGATTGAGTGTTGTTTTTTATACTTTATAGACAAAACTGTTTCTGGAAACCATCACCCTCGTGATAAATAAAATGACATTGTAAACCTTTAATGTTTGCTTTCTAAATGAAAATGATCAAGATTTTATCAGATAAAACCTTATTTTAAAATAACTTTGTAGTATATCACTGAAGATAGGAATACAATGCCATGTAAGGTAGTCTGCCCTGCATTCAAAAACAGTTTAATACAAAATTGCTGTTATTGAGACAACTTTAATACGGTTTAAAGTACATATCATTTATTTTATAGATATTCTGCCTGGGTGAGAAATTATTTTTTAGGTTACAGCCTGTGTAAAGGTTTATATTCTTCACAAAATAAAGGCTAATATTGAATCCATAGAAAACATTTCTAATAAAGCTCTCTGTTCTTACAACTATGCTGAAATTATGTGTTTTTGGTACACAAGTGTCTGAATGTCTATATTCGTTGTATACTAAATTGTTTATGATGCCAAAACCCCGTGTGTACCATGATTGTACGGTATGCTACAATCCAATGTCATCATCATAGCTTTAGACATTCAATAAATTCTGGAGAAGGTGTGTTTTAAATGTTCTCTGAACAAGAACAAAGTGGATGCAAAGACAAAATATGAGCAGTTCCTTTGCTAGTGTCCGTTCCTTCCCTGACACTCCAGTGCCACCCCCAAGTATTCACTGTCCGCAGCATGCAGCTACTGGGAGACAACGGTCTTTCACAGCATCAAGACAGAGAACAGCTCCAGAGGAAAGTGTGAATGTGATTATTGGCTGTAACTGCTTTAGAGAAAAAAAGTTTCAATCCATAGATAAAGCTCTTTAAAATAAAAGCTGTATTGTTCCACAGTCTTTCTCTTTGCATTAGGTTCAAGTTTTCTTTTCAACTAAATCAGTCTTTTTTTCTTGATTGATTTGAGACCAAGATCACACAGTTCACGTATTGACCCAGGGATGCAAGCATGAAAAACTCCACACTTTTTTGCTATTGCTCCTGAGGTTTGATAGGTAGTACCCTCCCATCAAAAACTATGAATTGATCTGAGAATCAAGCAGAAGAGCTAGGCAAAAATAACGCACATAGAAATTAGGTCTTATATTTTCTGCAGAGGGCGTGGGGGGTCACCATATGTATTAAAATGAGCTAGACTCCTTGAGGTTGTTTCACTGTAAAACCACCCACAATCTCCAGACCCATACAAACAGTGCAGCAACTGAGTCCTTGTAAGTTGTAAAAGATATTAACTATATTGGAAAAGCACCAAACATCCCATGCGACTGGGCCCCATTCAGAATCAGCCAGCGTATGATGAGTGGAGTGGTTTTGAATATCTCCTTTAGATCCCATGCTGTTCCAAGGCAGGCCCTGAACATGGTCGCTCTTGTTTCCACACACAGAACCTCTTCACTCTCAATTTAACCCGAAATCTGATGAACCCATTACTCTATACTTGATTTCATGGAACAAAGGGTAGATATAGTTACAAATGATCAATCATGAGGCGTGAACTGAGGCGGCAAGGCATTAACAATTCACACCATTTCAGTCCACTTGCCCAAGCAGAAGATCCGCCAGCATATTTAATGCATAACTATTTCACTCAATTTAAGGAAAGCATGACTCATGCTGCATTCTTTAAAGTAAAAAAGAATTACTCAATTGCGTGCCTACTGCCCATTTTAGTGCCAGAGTGCACCCACATATAAACAATTGAAGTAACCCAGGTGTTCACCAAAGGTCACAGTGAGAGGCTTCTGAATCTCCATTTATTGAGGTCCAAATAAATTACCCTAAGTAACGTTGTTTTATTTTCTGGGTAAAGCTGCGTTCCATTAGGTTGCATTGTGCAAATCAACATCTTGTTCTGCTGTGTTGTAATGTTGTAGACCCTGCAGGCGCAGGCTGTCAATTTAATGGGATCACTGAAAAGCAAAGCAGCTGTGAAAGATTGCTTTAAGTACGGCAATCGTGTGCTTGTCATTCCATTCAGCAGTAAAAAAACCCAAATTCAGATAGGCATCAATATTTAAGAAAATGACTGCTAAAATGTCCCCCTCATAAACACCCAAGGGACAAAATGATTTGATGGCCGATGTGTAAACAAAAGTATGAAGCGGCTGTTGAATTAATTTGAAATGCATTTTTAAGAAACCAATAATAGACTTTGAATTTTGAGTGGTCAAATGTTTGGGTTTACGAAGAGTTCTTCACTGTAAGGTATGTATAGTCTTTTTATGTATTGGGCATAGCTTTGAGTTTTGTTGATAATATTCTGCTGCATGATAATAGGTTCATATAACACAGTAGTCAACTAGTTTGGCCTAACAACCACAATGCCTGTATTATTGTGGTTGCAGCAACTAGTGTTAAGTTGTTGTTCTTGTTGTGGAATTTGTCATAGCAGTTTCAGCAGAAAGGTCAATCACTCATTACTCTGATAACTAATGATATGCTCTTTGTTGATATCAGGTCAAGTTCATTTTACCTGCAACTACTGCGCAGGCTCAGAATAGCTGTTTTATATTTGTGTCTTTGTAAATGGTTGCTATTAAACCCATTGAAGTGGTTCATGTTAAGAATTGATAACATCCCCTCTGCTGTCACTGGTGGTTAAAATATTACAATAGATATGAAGGCTCTTTGTGGTATGTCTTTGGGATAGCTGAATATTCCTTCAAAGAATATGATTCTTTATAGCCTTTCCTTACTTTTTTTCTTCTTCTAACCTCTTTGGCAGGAGCCCGTCTATAGCTTCATGCAGTTTTATCAGAACAATGAAAGGAGGTTTCAGCAAGGCTGGTTCCAATTCATCTGTGATAAATGAGAAGATAAGGCAATCAGTGCACACCATGACACTGTGTGCAGCTAGTTAGGCACACTTCAAAACTATTCAGGTGTGCTTATGAATCCTACAGTTGGGGGGGCTTGCTATATATACACCCCTCATGGTGGCCACTAGTCATCTAGGAGTTTGTTCTTCTCAGAGCTTCCACAGGTCACACATAAATAATACATACCTAGAAAATGGGCCCAGAGCTGGTTTAAGAGCTCTTTTTCTAACAAGTGAAATTTGAGTCAGATGGGATTTATTTATTTATTTTCCTCTTCTTCTTCTGCAGTTCCTTTCCTTGACAGCTGTCTGCAGAATTCCATTACACCTCTGCGAGGACCAGTCTGGGTCTCTAAGGGAGAGTTATTCAGTCCTACAGGAGCTAAACTCTACATCCAGGGAGTTTTGTGGGCCTTACATCAGAAGCTGAAGCCTGCTAAGGACCAAATCAAACAGGTGAGTTGTTTGAAAAGGGGGCTATTGAAAAAAACAATTCATGTGCCTGTATTTTGAAGAGATTGATTGGCGTTCTGTCATTAAAAGAATGTGACACTTATTGCATGGGTTCCAGCACTCAGTGGGGGCCAGAACAGTTTCTCTGTGATCTCTGGGCCAACAATAATGATGCTAATTGTATCTGTCTTTCAGTATTTGATGTCATGTGTCTTGTCTTTTTTTCTACTTTGCTACTGATGGAGCTCAGTCGATTCAGTTTTCACATGCACAGTTAGAATTTCAAGGCTTTTGTTTTTCTTTGAAAGTAGCTCAACAGAATTGTGATTTTCCAGAATGTATTTTTTTCCTTAATTAAGCATACCAGTTTCAAAAGCCTCTGCCAGCGTTAATGTGTGACAGCATATCACAGACGATGTGTTTTAATCCGATTTATTGAAAAACGCTGCCATTTTGCTTACTATGAAGCAGCATTGCCCATGCTAACACCTTCAGTCACAGCACACTGCTTTAAAACATTCCAAAGCATATCGAAACTAATATTATAATACGTGGCTACTTGATATAAAAGTCGCTTCCTGCAATTTTGCATAACAGAAAATGGAAAGAGACAGATCTTAGCTTGCTGAGTGTTTCTTGTGCCTGTTGGTCCATTTTGCAGTGGGTGCGGGGAGAACTATCTTGTTTTGTGTTAGTACAGAGTTAAAAGCAGTTAACACTTTCAGTGACAGAGCTGTCTCGTCTCATTAGCATTCCCATTACATGGTTGTTGTGCTGGTGGGGGTGTTGAAGCCGGAATGCTATTGTGTGAGCTGTTTTACTGTTTGGGGACAAACACTGCTGTGGAGGGAACGTGTGAAAAGGCCATAGCACTGTGAGTGAATGAAGGAGGCTGTGTTTACTGCATGCTTCAAGCTGAGGAGCTGTCATTCACAGCCACTGCACAGCTATAGAGTTCCAGAAAGAAACAGGCGCAACTACCTTGTAATATAAATCATATATCTTTCTAAACCCTTCCTGGCCTTTCTCTCTATTTTTTGAGAAATTAAGTTGTTTCTGTGTCTAGAGATTTAAGAAGTTGAGAAAAAACTCAGTCCCACAATGATCATTTTTTACACAGTGCATAAAGCTTTAATGTCATTAAGTGGTTATAAATTTAACCGCAGCACACATCAATTTTTCCCAACTCACAGCTAGCTTGTATTGGTTTTCAATGATATGTATGTTATAATGTACCTTTTCATTGTTAGGACAAGTTGTGTGTTTGTGTTTATTTGCCACACTACTGTCAGATTTAAAGGATATTTAAATTAAAAACACTTTGTACCTCAGGATAATTCAAATGGCGGTTTCATTTTCTTTTAAATTTCTGTTAGCGATCATTTAATCGTCTTCAATTTTTATAAGCAACATTATTTAAATAATGTCATTCAGTTTTCATGTTTATTTTGTTATGTTCTTGAACAATTGTAAAAGGTTTATATAATTCCAGAGATTTTTTTCTCTTTCAAAACATTAGCTTTCAAGGTAAAATAATGTGCAGAATAACGTTTGACAAAATTGTAAAGATCTAAATGCTATTTAGATCTTATCTCAATAACAATGTTGTTAACAAATATTCAGAAACATTTAATTGTATATTAATTCAGAGATTACTAAGGTTATACTGTACATCCTTGCTCTTATTTTTCTAGGTTTTATTTACTTGGCCATCCTGACAATAATACTGAATAATATGGAACATCTCAGTGTTTATATAACATGCAAAAACATAATTAAATTAGGAAGCTTGATCATGTTCTTATGAAAATACATATATAATATAATAAGATCAATATCCTTGTTATCAAAGCATCTTAAACTCCTGACGGCCTTAAGTTCTGTACCTGGAGTAGGCCTTACGTCTGTTAAATGAAGTGAAAATTGCATTCTTGTCCAGATAGATATGAAAATGGAATTTCTGATCATGACATATACACAGTTTGCACTTCTTAAAAGGGTGTCAGCAATTTGCTTCAGAGAGCAAGGTGAATATTTGCCATGACAGAAAACTTGTGATCTGCACAATCAATAAAGAATTCCAATAAATCTTGCTTCATTACACTTATAATAAGAGCTATAGATCTACAGTAGGCCACATAAACTGATTATAAAGAAGACAAGGAGGGAATTTGCTTTTCTTCTGTCAACAATGCAACACTGCCACCTAGAGCTTCACAGGCCTAAAGCAGAACATTGGAAACAAAGGCAGGTGCATTTGTGTTGACTTAAGTCTAGCACTCAGTATATTAAATCTAAACTGCTTTAATTGTTTGTTTTTGTTTTACTTTATTTATTGTATGTTTGCTTATGATATTGAAAATAAGTAACAGGTTTACAGCATACCATTCTTTCAAATATAAAAAAACACCATAGGCCATCTATACAAATGGATACAGTGCACAGTAATATGCTATGGCATGTACTGTACAGTGAAAATTGTATAGTGCCCTAGAACCAAAAAATAATTAAATGGATTAGGAGGGGAGACCTTCAGTGTACAGTACAATCAGACTGGTGACCAGATCTTACAGAAATGACCAGACAAGAGATAGTATGTGAGATATTTTAGGGCTAAAATGCCGCTACTTGAGAGAACCACGTTTAACTAGAACTGTTTACAAATATTTACGAGATTTGTGCAACATGCACTGTAGTACAAGCAATCTATAATAATGGAATAAGGAAGTAGCCTACAGTTTCTGTTTCTTGTTTTTGGTGACAGCTTAGAGAATTTTTTTTTTCTGTGCTTTAAAACATCTTATTAAACTGAAATACATTAAATGAGGGGCATAGTTCTTCTGAAGATTCTCAATTGGTCAGCCTTATAAAATCTACTCTTCAAATATGATACAAGCTTACTGTGCTTTTATGTCATAACTTTTTATTCTTTTTATAGCTTGTAGAATAAAATGTTCTGACGTATATGCATTATTTATCCAATTTAAAGCGAGTGTATGAAGGACAAAACAAAATTGCAAATGTATGTTTAGATATATATTACAATTATGCTGCAGCTGTAGTAAAAGTGAAGAGACAAGTGTGACCCTCGTGCCTGACTTGTGTATGACTGATATGTAAAAACCGGAATCATATTTGAAGATCAAGTCTTTAGTTTCAAATGAGGTGTCTGCAGCATGGATGAAGTAATGTATGGTTTGAGGGATAATGAGTGTTGAGGCACTTGAAATTACTTTTTATTAGACACTAGTTAGCACTTGTTTGGAATGTGCAAAGTTCTCGTCGCAGTCTAATAATCTAATAGGAACTGTCTCATCAAGACAGTTAATTCTACAAAGGGAATAGTATTTTATTGATCATTTATTCTAAATAAAGAAAGAGAATAATAAATATTTGAAAGAAAATTAATTTAAATAATTTAGTAAAAGGATTATTCTGTAAACCTATTCTGTACTTCTTATTCCTTGTTTATTTTATGCAAAGATTTGATTTCATATATACTTTTATCTTTTGTGCAAATAATTTATAACTATTCTATGCATGTTAAAATCATTTGTTCTTGTGCTATTTTTTTAAACCATGTTATTTCTTGTTCTTGTATTGTTGTGTTGTATTTTATTGTTGTCATTAATGTAAGACAGGAAACACATGTTTACCCTCTGAATTTACAAACAGATAATAAGCATCAAAAAGCCGTATAAGTATCAGCTGCTTTTGGTGAAAATACTGCTGTCTCATTTTCTCTCAAAAGCTGTGTTTAGGTATGCATACAAAGGACACAGAAGTAGTCCATCAAACATGACAAGTTATATTAAAAAGTAAAAACAAATTACAGTAATTGGGTTTTCAACAATTTAAATTCAAAAGAAATCAATAAGACTGCTTTGACATATAAATTCACTTCCAGCTGAAATGAGAGGTTTCTGCTTAGGAGAGGCACCACCAACTGCATTTGGGATTGTAAAGCAGCATCAGGATCACTAGAAAAAGAACTAAACCCATCTGGTGCTCCTAAAGACTCATGAGAAAATACTTTGGGACACATGATGTCCAGGTTAAGCATCAAAGCTCAATTGTCCCAGGGATAAACAAATTGCTGCTTTATAGATCAAACAGCGCAGTCAAAAACAATGGCCAGTTACATCAGTGACAAGTCATGGGCAGGAATCTTCTAACCAGAGTTACTAGAGAGACAAATGTTCTTGATAGCAATCTAACATTACTGTAGACATTAGATCTCTATAAGTGAATTATTACTGCTACTGTATGGAGAGCACTTCCAATGACTTGCCAAGTTAAAAATACAGCATATTTCTATCCTGAACCTTTACAGTATATCATACCATAAAAAAAAAAATTTGTGCCCGAGTTTTAGCTAGTGTGGTTGAGCCTTCCAGGGAGCCTATTTGTCTTTAGAACTCACTGCAAACATGCTTATATTGTATGTGTAATATTTACAGAGTTATATATATATATTTGGTAGGATTTTGTGTATATTTCCCTTATGACCCATGTATTCTATTATGAAAATAATATAAGGGTATTCACAAGAATTTCCCAGTTCTTGGGCCTGTAGGGTATAGGTTATTTCCATATGGTCTGCAATTTGTAAGTGGAAGGAGGAAATGAGTGCAATAAGCTACGTCTGCAGTTCACAGAGCACTCATACTGTATGCTTAGGATTCCAGCCTTTTATGAATGTACAGTGGATGTAAGTGATGGAGGTAAAGACAGAAAAATATTGTCCTCCATCTTTCAAAAACTGGAGGTCTTATAATATATCTTATAATATATACCTGAGTATATAAAGGACCAGAGCTTTTTATAAATGAGAAAACAACACGTAGTTTTATGTTTTCGTTGGAATGTTAGTAAAATAAAGAAAATAATAAGAACATGAGATTACATTACCTGTAAATTACATCTCAGGAGGATCAGCACTTCATGTCAATCTTGTTTTCCTTTTACTTGTATTCTTCAGTAATACCTTCCATAATCAAAAG